TTAAATTTTTAAATGGATAAAATAAAAAATTTAAAACTTTTAAGGTGCAACCCTATTATTGAAAATTATTAATTTGACTTAATTAATGGGTAAATTATACTAATAGTCCTTGAGGTTTACCATTTGTTGAAATTTAGTCCTTAAAGTTTTAGTTTTATAAATTTATCCCTAAAGTTCACACATTGGACTGATATAGTCCTTTGCCCTAACTGGCGTCTAAATCAATAATAGAAAATCATCACATGCTATGCATGCGACTATAGTTAAGGATAATTTTGTCATTGTCCAACAATCTCTATAGCCAAACACTCTTATTACACTTAAGAACAACACTAGACATTAACTCAAACATCCTCCTTCTTCTTCCTCACTTTATTTTTCTATTTCCCTCGACACAGGCAACACACATGATAAGTCAAATACACACAACATCTCCCCCTTTCTATCTCTCTAATTTTTTTTCTTTATGCACAACATCTTGCTAAAAAACAAAACCAGCAACACCCCATTCCAAAAAAAACCCAACACTTATCTCTCTCTCAAAATTTTCTTTATGCACAACATTCCCCTTCCCCGAAAAAAATAAAAAAAAGGCCTATCCAAAAAAACACACATCACCTATCTCTCTCTGAATTTTTTCTTTACGCACAACATCCTCCCTCCCAAAAACACCCCCTTCAAAAAAAAAACCCAACACCTCTCTCTTTCTCCGTGAACAACTATTTCTCCAATTAATATCTCGACCACCAAACCACCATCACACCATCATTAAATCTATAAGGACATCTTCATTCCTTACTCAAAATCAAATTCAAACTTAAATTTGAATAAAAAAATGTACAAAAATTATCTCAAATCTTTTGACTCGAACTTATATTAAATGAGGGAAAACTTTTTTTTTACCCAAATTGAAGAAATATCAAATCTTTTACTCAAAATTTTGAGCCAAAATAGACATTCTATAACATCTGTGTTTTGTCAACTTCCGGACCTTCTAAGCCATAGAAACTCATTCTCTGTTGTCTGCAAACTAATATAATTGTTTGATGTTGCTTCTTCAATTAGGTTACCCGATCCGACCCGAGAATGGATTTGCTTCCTTTCCAACCAGTGTTAGTTGAAATGTCACCCTTACATTAAACATTTAGTAGTTAGGTTTAGCTTTGGAGTACTCTGGTTAACATTCCAATTAAACAAATTTTTTTTCTCAAAAGGATTGTTTACGTTGAGTGCTAGTGCTAGGAAAGGGAAAGGAAGATCCAAGCTCCACCTGCATGTGCGAGTGCAACTGAGAAAAGAGCCAAGCTCTGGCATAAGGTCACAAAATTACATCTAGACTCCTTTAAGTACGTCTTTTAATCATTTAAACCCCTGATATTTAAAATATTATACATAAATCTCTTAAAGTTTGTACGCTTATAATACTTAAACTCTTGCCATCAATGTGCGTTAGTATATATGTTAATAAATTATATCTAGACCCCTTAAATTTTATAAGTATATAACCCTTAGACTTCACAAATTTAAAATATTACATTTAGACCACTTATTGGTTATAGAATTAACAAAATTTATTAAGCGACCAAATTACTCCAATTAAAGATAAAAGATATTGTGTTCAGTACGGTTTGACCCCTTATTTGATTTTTTAATTTTATTCCAATGGATAGTATAATTGTATACTAATTAAAAAATTTTAAAGAAAAAATTGGGTTTTGATTTTTGATTTTATTTCAATAAATGATATAATAGAATATGAATTTTGGTTATAAAATTTTAAATATTTGATATTCTATCTCTAATTAGAGTATTTTTTTATCTAAGTAGAATATTTTAAACTTGAGAGATTTAAATATATACTTAAAAATTTTGGCGGGTATGAGTATAATTTATTAATCGATAGACTAACGAACATTTTATGGCAGGAGTCTTAAGTGTTACACGTATACTAATCTTAAGTGATCTATATATAATATTTAAAATATCAGGGGTCTAAGTGATTAAATGACAAATTTCAAGGGGTCTCAATATAGCCCCTATACTTTGAGGCGGCAGTGAAATACCCCTCTACTTTTAAAAATTATAAAACAAGAATATCATAATTTAATAAATAAATTAAATAAAAAATAAAATTTCATGCACAAATATGTGAAAATTTATTATATTTTGAACTATATTTTGTCTGAAAATGACAATTATAATTTATAAGGTTAATTGCAAAATCACTCTTGTACTTAAGCACGGAAGTAAATGACTCGACTTAACTTTAAACTTTTGTACTAAAATTCCTTGAACTTATGACCAAATTGTAAAAGTGGATGTCTATCACATAACTCGTAAAAATACCAAAATACTATTACTATTTTATTCAATGTTCATATAAATGTCATCACTTAATCTAAACACCATCTCTACTTCTCCCTCTCCCATTTGGGTATCTTTTTTTTCTCTCCTTCCCTTCTCCCATACCCAAGTCTCTTTCTTTCCTTTCTCTTTGAATTTTTTTCTACTCTTTCCGTCCAATTCTTTTTTTTTTTTTTTGAAAAGCTTTCTCCTCCTTTTTATTCCTTCTATATTTATTAATGTGCTTCCTTCATGACTCACTACTCAACTTCCAAGTTGTGTACACATAACCACGCATAACCCATATGTATCTCTATTTAGCTACTACCTCCACCTTCTTAGTTTTGTTTTTTGTTTATAATTCATAATAAAAATCAACACCCTTGAAAATTCCACCCTTTATATATTTAATTGTTTTCAAGAGAGTCTCTTTTTATATAAGTTTATATTTATTTATTGGATGGGGGCATTACTCTCGCTCTCTCCCCTTTCCCCTCTCATCTCATGGTAACCGACAATGATGCTTATACATAGCAAGAGTTTCTCAACAGTGAAGACCAAACAACAAAACACGATCATTTGAATAAGACCAATATTCTATATACATGTATTTCTAAAATTTGGAAGGTTTTCAAATAGGGATACTTTTTGGAGTAATATACGTGTTGCCAACAAGCACCAATGTTTGCGATACAAGACATATGCTGATTACTTAAAGGAGTTGAAGTGAAAATTCTCACATCGTGACCCATGACAAAAATTCTTCCTATCAAATTTGCTAATCCCAAAGCTAAAATATTCACTGAAATACCATACAAACACAAATCAATGACCAATATACATACAAACTTTTGGGACTCAAAGTTAACTGGTAGTTGATAAAACAGTATACGCTCAACAAACTTGTAACACGAAAGACAAAAGCAGTCATTTTTTGGTAACTCCTATGTAACCATTTTTTGGTAATCCATGAGCTCACCTGCAGCAATTATGGGTTCAAACTCCACAAGACGCCCTACTCTGTTCACTTCTATTACCCAATCAATGAAACCCAAAACAACCAAGGATGAGCAATTTAAGATCATAATGATAAACTACATCCAATTAAAATAAAAGATCATTCTAAGGTTCAACCTCCATTAATTTTTTTTGTTGTGTCTGTGGACAAAGCTCTAGAGGTTACATAGGAGTTATATCTACATCTTCAAATATTTGCATTGCAGCAGAATTTGGAGAAAACCCCACGATTTTCTGTTGAGCAAAAAATTGTCTTTTTCAATTACCCTTATACAGATGTTGTCACATCTATACCCAAATGCTACTTGAAATTGACATAGAAAAAGGGAGGATGAGAAGGAGGAGAAAAAGAAAGAGTTAGTAGACGAAGAAAAAGAATGAGAAAGAGGAGGAGAAGAAGAAAGAAGAGAGCGGAGGAAGGAGGAGAAAAAGCAAAAGGAGGGAGGAGAAGGAGAAAAAGAATAAGGAGGAAAAAAGAGAGGAGAAAAAGAAGAAGGAGGACATCTCGATCACCAAACCACCATCACACCATTATCAAATCTATAAGGATATCTTCATTCATTACTCAAAATCAAATTCAAACTTAAATTTGAATAAAAAATGTACAAAAATTATCATTAATCTTTTGACTCAAACTTATATTAAATGAAGGAAAACTTTTTTTTTTACTCAAATTGAGGAAATATCAAATCTTTTACTCGAAATTTTGAGTCAAAATAGACATTCTATAACATCTCTGTTTCGACAATTTCCGGATTTTCTACGCTTTGGAAACTCATTCTCTGTTGTCTGCAAACTTACATAATTGTTTGATTTTGCTTATTCTATACCATCTGTGTTCGACTTCTTTTTCAAGTTATTGAAACCCAACAAATTGACGAGTAAGTCGTCTAAATTTTGACATCAATAGTAATAATTATGATTTTTTTTAAAAAAAATTAAATTTTATTTTAAATTCTATTTCAATAAGTGACACAATAGAACATGAATTTTGATTATAAAATTTAAAATATTTGATATTTTATCTTTAATTAAAATATTTTTAATTTAAGTGTAATATTTTAAACTTGAAGACTCAAGTTTTACTGTTACACACGTTTTTAAATTTTATTAGAAGATATAAGCGTAATTTATTAATGTAACAAATTTAACCGTTACAGTACAAATCTGTTCACTCAGCTCTCTCTCTCTATTTAAAGCCTTCGGTAGTCTCATTAATTGCAAAATCTGTGCATTAATATCTCTCTCTCTCCCTCTCAATTTAAATCCCTTCGGTAGGCTCCTTAATTTCCAAATCTGTGCATTAATCTCCCGCTCCCTCTGTCTCTCTCAACCCTCACCCGAAAACGCTCGCCCAGAGACGGTGTCGCCTAGTTTCCAAATCTATAAGTCTCCACGCTTTCTTTTTCACCGCCTCTCTTCTTTTCTGCAACTCTCTCTGCAACCCCCTCCCAACTCTCCCCCGAAAACCCCCATCCCATACACTCTCTCTCTCCCCTGAAAACACCCCATCCCATACACTCTCTGTTTCTCCCCTGAAAACACCCCACCCATAAACTTTGGCCAAAATCGATTGGATGGGGACTAAATTTGGGAACATTCATGCTTCGGGATCACAATGTTACGAGTTGCAACATATGATGAAGGTTTGTAATGAGTTTGTTCAAAACTTTTCCAAATCTGTAACATGCCATCCAGTGCCTCCAGGTTTGAATTCTTTAATCTGATTCAATCTCTCTCTCTCTCTCTCTCTCTCTGTGGCCGACTCTTGTTTTCGCGTTTGAAATATGATTGGAAGTCAAAAACAGAGCATCACCGTGATTCCGACGGAAGGCAAATAGCGGATTTGTGGTTGTCAACGTACATGTATAAATCATTAGATTCATAGAATTTTCGTTACATGATTTTCGCAGATTTCGTTTTTGTTCCCTGTTTCTGATTTATTTTTCTATTTTCACATTGTCTTCATAATTTATCATACTATTATGTTTATAATTCTTTGTTACCCAGTAACTACATAAATCCCTTTATTTTATTTTTTCCTTCTTATTTTCGGAACTCGATATTATTATGAATGATGAACAGCCGTTATATTTTGGAATGAGAAATACTGATTTCAATGGCCGCCAAGAATGTGATTGAAGACTTGAATATGATTACACACACATGGCAAAACTACTGAAACCCTTTAGTTTCTAAAATACAATTATTGTAGTTATTTATGTGTTTTTTCTAGTATTTTTTGGTTTGGCCTTATTGAGTGTCACGGAGGACGATATTGTGTGATTGACTTTCTTTCTTTTGGTTAGAGTTTTTTTCCATGGATTTTCTCTCAATTGCTGTTGATTCTGCCCTATGATGCTTTAGTAATATTGTGGATGTGCTGAAATGGATTGCAGCAATTCCGATTGAATTACTTATGCTCGATTTTTTTTTTTTTTTTAAACTGCACAGTGTAAATTTTGTAACTACAGTTTGAATTTGGCTACTGAGCTAGTTGTAGAAATTCCAACCTCGAAGGTTTTTTGATATGCAATTCAACAATGTTTTGGTGCTATTTTATGATTTTCCTGTTTGAGCAACGGTCAAACTTGAAAATCTTGTTTAATTGATGATGTTGCATATGCATTGCAACGCAATTTCATTACAGAATTTTAGCCTGTGATTAATCCTGCCGCCCATGTTCTTGTGTCTGGAATTGCAGATTTTGCCCATCAAAATTAAAAGGCTTGGAGGAAGTGTAGCGACATTAGCCAACTGGTTCAGTTCCTGGGTGATTATGATGACTGCACCCTTGCTCTTGTCTTGAAGCAGTGGAGGTTTGCCCCTCTCTCTCTCTCTCTCTCTATCAGCTGTTGTATAAATGGTTTAGCATTGACTTATTGCTAGTGTTCTTATAAACAGTCTCCCCCCTCCCTTCTCCTCTTTTTTCTTTGCAAAAGAATTAAAAATTCCAGTTCATCCTGGAGGACAATAATTCCATTATGTTTTTTGTTGTGAAACATATTGATTCCAAGTTTATGGCTACCATTATGTTGACTTCTAAAGCCTTCCAATTTGTTACTTTTATATTGTTCTTGATTTCTGTAACTCAGTTTGGGAGTGTTACTAGAAAGTAGAAATTTTAACGCATAAGAGTTATAAAACCTTAAGTGTTTGGGGTTTTGGGTTAAGGTTTAGGGTTTATGGTTACGGGGTTAAGGGTTAAGGATTATGGGTTTAGGGGTTAGGGATTTGGTTGCTGCTTGTTCTTGGTCTGCTGCCTGTCCTTCACTGCAGCACTACTCACGTGGTTGTTATGGCAGCTCTTGGTTTCCTTCAGCTGTCCCCTCCTAGTTCAGCTGGTTTTCAGCTCGATTTTGCTGGTTCCTCAGCTTTTCTGCTGGTGGCTTTTCCCTTTCAGCTGGTTTGCGCTGGGTTTCTCTTTGGACATGCATTGATGGTTTCTGCTGCTACTGGTTTTCTCAGCGGTTCCCTCTTGTTTCTCTATGCTTTGGCTCTGCTGGTTTCAGCTGCACCTTCAGCTGGTTTTAATGTTCTCCAGCTGGACTTTCATCTGATTTTCAGCCAGTTTCTCTGTGGCCTGAGCATGCCAACTGTGGATTTTATCTTTTTTGTTGTTAAAGCCTTGCTTCTTTTCTTGTTCTTGCTTGTAATCATGGCTTTCATCAATGGTATTTCGTTTCATTCAAAAAAAAAAAAGAAAAAGGGGTTGGGGATTTGGGTTTATTGTTCTTTTCCTTCTTTTGCTCCACCCCCTCATCATTCTTCTCCTATTTTTCTCCTTTATTTTGTTATGTTTTGGATTTTCATTTTTCGTTATTGTTTTCATGTTTTGCACAACCTACAATTGCATAACATTTCTTTAATTATTTGTGCTTTGTTTGTTTTTCTATTAGATTAATTATGTTTTATTTCATTTTTTTGGATTTTTGGTTTATTGTTAGGGGTTAGGGATTAGGGTTTATAGGGAGTAGGATTTGGGATTAGAGATTAGGGATTAGGGATTAGAGATTAGGGATTAGGGATTACGAATTAGGGGTTAGGTATTTGGGTTTATTGTTGTTTTGCTTCTTTTGCTCCACCTCCTCATCATTTTTATCCTATTTTTCTCTTTTATTGCTTTTGTTATGTTTTGAATTTTTATTTTTATGTGCGTAACTAATCTAATGTGTATTTTGATTTCAGTTGTTAGTGGAATGGACGAGATAAGCTTGAAAACGGAATTTAGGGGCCAAAAGATAAGTATATCTATTTGTGCAAATTTGATTGACTTTCTTTTACATATGAAATGTGTTTTACACATGACTATTTCTACATCTTCTTGTGTTTCTTAGTTGTTATGATCATTGTTTCTATTATTTTCAATTCTCAACACTCATTATCTTACTTTTTGCATTTCATTTTTCGTTATTGTTTTCATGTTTTACACAACCTATAATTACAAAAGATTTCTTTGATTATATGTGCTTTGTTTACTTTTTTATTAGATTAATTATGTTTTGTTTCTTTTTTTTAGCTTGTCGGTTTATAGTTAGGGGTTGGGAATTAGAGCTTAGGGAGTAGGGGTTTGAGATTAGGGATTAGCAATTAGGGGTTTAGAAATTAGGGATTAGGGATTAGGGATTGGGGATTAAGGATTAGGGATTAGGGGTTAGGAATTTGGGTTTATTGTTCTTTTGCTTCTTTTGTTCCACCTCCTCATCATTTTTATCCTATTTTTTAATTTTATCGTTTTTGTTATGTTTTGGATTTTCATTTTTATGTGCGTAACTAATCTAATGTGTACTTTGATTACAGTTGTTAATGGAATGGACGAGATAAGCTTGAAAGCGAAGTTTAGGAACGAAAAGATAAGTATAATTATTTGTGCAAATTTGATTGACTTTCTTTTACATATGAAATGTGTTTTACACATGATTATTTGTACTTCTTCTTGTGTTTCTTAGTTGTTATGATCATTGTTTCTATTATTTTCTATTCCCAACACTCTCATTATCCCACTGTTTGTTTTTCATTCTTCGTTATTGTTTTCATGTTTTACACAACCTATAATTGCATAGCATTTATTTGATTATATGTGTTTTATTTGCTTATCTATTAGATTAATTATATTTTATTTCTTTTTTTGGATTGTCGGTTTATAGTTAGGGTTGGGGATTTGGGCTTAGGGAGTAGGGATTTGGGATTAGGGATTAGGCCTATAGAGATTAGGGATTAGGGGTTAGAGATTTGAGTTTATTGTTCTTTTGCTTCTTTTGCTCCACCTCCTCATCATTCTTATTCTATTTTTTTATTTTATTGTTTCTGTTATGTTTTGGTTTTTCATTTTTATGTGCGTAACTAATGTAATGTGTACTTTGATTTCAGTTGTTAGTGGAATGGACGATATAAGCTTGAAAGCGGAGTTTAGGAGCGAAAAGATAAGTATATCTATTTGTGCAAATTTGATAGGCTTTCTTGTACATGTGAAATTTGTTTTACACATGACTATTTCTACATCTTCTTGTTTTTCTTGTTTGTTATGATCATTGTTTATATTATTTTCAATTCCCAACACTCTCATTAACCCACTGTTTGCTTTTCGTTTTTGGTTATTGTTTTCATGTTTTGCACAACCTATAATTGCATAACATTTCATTGATTATCTGTACTTTGTGTGCTTTTCTATTAGATTAATTATATTTTATTTATTTTTTTAGGGTTGTTGGTTTATAGTTAAATGGTTGGGAATTAGGGCTTAGGGAGTAGGATTAGGGATTAGGGATTAGGACTTTAGAGATTAGGGATTAGGGGTTAGGGATTTGAGTTTATTGTTCTTTTGTTTTTTTGCTCCACCTCCTCTTCATTCTTATCCTATTTTTTTTTTATTGTTTTTGTGATGTTTTGGATATTTATTTTTATGTGCGTAACTAATCTATTGTATACTTTGATTACAGTTGTTGGTGGAATGGACGAGATAAGCTTGAAAGCGGAGTTTAGGAGCGAAAAGATAAGTATATCTTTTTGTGCAAATTTGATTGACTTTTTTTACATATGAAATGTGTTTTACACATGACTATTTGTAGATCTTCTTGTGTTTCTTACTGGTTGTGACCATTGTTTCTATTATTTTCAATTTCGGACACTCTCATTAACCTACTGTTTGCTTTTTATGTTTTGCACAACTTATAATTACAGAACATTTATTTGATTAAATGTGGTATGTTTGCTTTTCTATTAGATTAATTATGTTTTGTTTCCTTTTTTTGGGTTGTTGGTTTATAGTTAGGGGTTGGGTATTAGGGCTTAGGAAGTAGGATTTGGGATTAAGATTTTAGAGATTAGTGATTAGGGATTAGAGATTAGGGATTAGGGATTGTGGATTAAGGGTTAGGGATTTGGGTTTATTGTTGTTTTGCTTCTTTTTTTCCACCTCATCATTCTTATCCTATTTTTTTCTTTTATTGTTTCTGTTATGTTTTGGATTTTCATTTTTATGTGCGTAACTAATCTAATGTGTATTTTGATTTTAGTTGTTTGTGGAATGCACGAGAAAAATTTGAAAGCGGAGTTTAGGAGCGAATAGATAAGTATATCTATTTGTGCAAATTTGATTGACTTTCTTTTACATGTGAAATGTGTTTTGCATATGACTATTTCTACATCTTCTTGTGTTTCTTATTTGTTATGATCATTGTTTCTATTATTTTCAATTCCTAACATTTTCATTATTCCATTGTTTGTTTTTCATTATTCGTTATTGTTTTCATGTTTTACACAACCAATAATTGCATAGCATTTGTTTTATTATATGTGTTTTGTTTGCTTATCTATTAGATTAATTATGTTTTATTTCCTTTTTTTGGATTGTCGGTTTACAGTTAGGGGTTGGGGGTTGGGGATTGGGGCTTAGGGAGTAGGGATATGGGATTAGGGATTTGGGCTCTAGAGATAAGGGATTAGGGGTTCGGGATTTGGGTTTATTGTTCTTTTGCTCCACCTCTTCTTCCTTCTTATCCCATTTTTTTCTTTTATTGTTTTTGTTATGTTTTGGATTTTCATTTTTATGTGCGTAACTAATCTAATGTGTACTTTGATTTCAGTAGTTAGTGGAATGGACGAGATAAGCTTGAAAGCGGAGTTTAAGAGCGAAAAGATAAGTATATCTATTTGTGCAAATTTGATTGACTTTCTTTTACATATGAAATGTGTTTTATACATGATTATTTCTTGATCTTCTTGTGTTTCTTACTTGTTATGACCATTGTCTCTATTATTTTCAGTTCCGCACACTCTCATTAACCCACTGTTTATTTTTCATTTTTCGTTATTGTTTTCGTGCTTTGCATAACCTATAATTGCATAACATTTCTTTGATTATATGTGCTTTGTTTGATTTTCTATTAGTTTAATTATGTTTTGTTTTCTTTTTTTGGGTTGTTGGTTTATAGTTAGGAGTGGGGGACTAGAGCTTACGGAGTAGGATTTGGGATTAGGGATTAGGGATTAGGACTTTAGAGATTAGGGATTCAGGATTAGGGATTAGGATTATGGATTATGGATTAGGGGTTCGGGATTTGAGTTTATTGTTGTTTTGCTTCTTTTGCTCCTCCTCATAATTTTTATCCTATTTTTTCTTTTATTGTTTCTGATATGATTTGTATTTTCATTTTTATGTGAGTAACTAATCTAATGTATATTGTGATTTCAGTTGTTAGTGTAATGGACGAGATAAGCTTGCAAACGGAGTTTAAGAGCGAAAAGATAAGTATATCTATTTATGCAAATTTGATTGCCTTTCTTTTACATGTGAAGTTTGTTTTGCACATGACTATTTGTACATCTTCTTGTGTTTCTTACTTGTTATGATCATTGTTTCTATTATTTTCAATTCCGCGCATTCTTATTAAACCACTATTTGCTCTTCATTTTTCGTTATTGTTTTCATGTTTTGCACCACCTATATTTGCATAGTATTTCTTTGATTATATGTGCTTTGTTTACTTTTCTATTAGTTTAATTATGTTATTTTCTTTTTTTGGGTTGTTGGTTTATAGTTAGGGGTGGGGGACTAGAGCTTAGGGGGTAGGATTTGGGATTAGGGATTAGGGATTACGGATTAGGACTTTAGAGATTAGGGATTCGGGATTAGAGACTAGGGATTAGGGATTAGGGTTTACGGATTATGGATTAAGGGTTAGGGGTTCGGGATTTAGGTTTTTTGTTATTTTGCTTCTTTTGCTCCTTCTCCTCATCATTTTTATCCTATTTTTTTTCTTTTATTGTTTCTGATATGTTTTGGATTTTTATTTTTATGTGCGTAACTAATCTAATGTGTATTGTGATTTCAGTTGTTTGTGGAATGGACGAGATAAGCTTGCAAACGGAATTTAGGAGCGAAAAGATAAGTATATCTATTTATGCAAATTTGATTGCCTTTCTTTTACATGTGAAATTTGTTTTGCACGTGACTATTTCTACATCTTCTTGTATTTCTTACTTGTTGTGGTCATTGTTTCTATTATTTTCAATATTGGGCATTCTTATTAAACTACTATTTGCTTTTCATTTTTCGTTATTGTTTTCATGTTTTGCATAACCTATAATTGCATAACATTTCTTTGATTATATGTGGTTTGTTTGCTTTTCTATTAGATTAATTATGTTTTGTTTCCTTTATTTGGGTTGTTGG